AAGACCAAAATAAAATGAAGAAAGTCTAAGATTCATGTGGGATACCATCAAGAGGAATAATCTACGTATAACTGAAATTCTAAAACAGGAAGAAACAAATAATAAAACCACAGAGAAAACTGTCGAAGATTTGTTGGAGGAGAATTTCCCAAGATAATGAAAGCGGAGAAGATACCCATTCAAGAAGTTCAATGAACCCCAAACAGGATAGAACTCAAAAGAAAATCACATCACTGAGACATATCATAATTAAACTCACAAAAACCAAAGACAAACATAGAATCCTGAAAGCAGCACAAGAAAAACAAAAAATTACCTAAAACAAGTAACCAATAAAACTAAAGCTCTGATTTCTCAGCAAAATCCATGCAGGGGAGAAGGAAATGGGATGATATATATATATAAAACCCTGAAAGAAAAAAAATTGCCAACCAAGAGTTATATACCCAAAGAAACCTGAAACTACAAAGTTCATTAAAGGAAAAAGAGGCAAACTTTGAGACCCTCATTTATGGCATAAATAGACTATCAAGCATAACCCAAGATGAACAAACAGAAGAAGATAAACCAGATTATTGGGACCTTCTGAAAATTAAATTCTTATGTGCATCAAAAGACTTTTCCAAAAAAGTAAAAAGAGAACCTAAAGATTGGGAAAAAATATTTGGCAATGAGGTATTGGACAAAGGACTTATCTCCAAAACTTATAGAAAACTCCAACATTTCAAGATGAAAAAGACAATCCAATTAAAAAATGGGCAGAAGACATGAACAGACACTTCACCAAAGAAGATACTCAGGCAGCCAACAAACACATGAAGAATGTTCACGATCATTAGCCATCAGAGATGTGCATATGAAAACAACCATGAGATACCATCCCACTGCAGCACTAACAGCAAAGTTCAACAAGACAGGAAATAACAAATGCTGGTGAGGATGTAGAGAGATTGAGACTCTCATACACTGCTGGTGGGACTGTAAAATGATACAATCACTGTGAAAATCTGTATGGCAATTCCTTACACAGTTGTAAATAGAAATACCATTTAATCCAGCATTCTGATTACTAGGCATATGTCCTAAAGAGCTGAGAGGCAGGACACAAATAGGTACATGCACATCCATATTCATCACAGCACTATTCACAATAGCAAAGAGATAGAAACAACCTAAGTGCCCATCAACCAAAGACTGGATAAACAAACTGTGGTACATACATACAGTGGAATACTATACAACCCTAAAGAATAATGTAGAATATGCAAAAGACGGCATAACGTGGATGAACTTGGATGACATTATGCTGAGTGAAATAAGGTAATTACAGAAGGACAAATAACATATTAGTCCGCTATTGTAAAAAGTCAAGGAAAGGTTTATATACGGAAGGAAACTTTCTTTGTTGGTTACTAGGGATGTGAGGGGAGGGAAAATTCCTAGACAGGTTGAAAAAAAAATATATGCATATATAAAAACCAAAGATTATTAGTGGTTACCAGGAGTAGGAGGGAGGGGGAAAGGGGAAGCTTTTGTTTTTAGGGCACTGAGTTTATACTAATGGTGGTAAAATATTTTGGAAAAGGGTAGCAACAATGGTGGTACAACATGAAAATGTCATCAATGTCCCTGAGCTGTACATGGAGAAGTTGTTATGTTGGTGAGTGTCTTGCTGTATATGCTTCCACCACAATAAAAGTAAAAATAAAATAACAGTGACTATACATGTGGACTTCATCAGATGGAATACACAGAAATCAAATCAACTCCATCTGTGGAAAGAGGCAATGGAAAAGCTCAGTATCATCAGTCAAAACAAGGCCAGGAGCTGCCTGTGGAACAGACCATCAATTGCTCATATGCAAATGAAGTTGAAGAAAATTAAAACAAGTCCAGGAGAGCCAAATATGACCTTGAGTACATCCCACCTGAATTTAGAGATCACCCGAAGAACAGATATGATGCACTGAACACCAGTGACCAAAGACCAGATTAGTTGTGGGATGACATCACAAATATCATATATGAAGAAAGCAAAAGATCATTAAAAACACGTGAAAGAAAGAAAAGACAAAAAATAGATGTTGGAAGAGACTCTGAAACTTGTTCTTCAATGCCGAGTAGCTAAAGTGAATGAAAGAAATGTTAAAACAAAAGAGGTGAACAGAAGATTTCAAAGGGCAACTCAGAAGACAAAGTAAAGCATTATAATGAAATGTGCAAAGACCTGAAATTAGAAAAGCAAAAAGGAAGAACATGCTCAGCATTTATCAAACTGAAAGAAATGAAGAAAAAATTCAAGATTTGAGTTACAATACTCAAGAATTCTACAGGCAAAATACTGAATGGTGTAGGAAGCATCAAAAGAAGATGGAAAGAATACACAGAGTCATTGTACCAACAAAAAAACTAGTCAATGTTCAATCATTTCAGGAGGTAACAAATGATCAAGAGGACCAATGGCACTAAAGGAAGAGGCCCAAGCTGCACTGTAGGAAATGGCAAAAACAAAGCTCCAAGAATTGATGGAATACCAATTGAGATGTTCCAACAAATGGATGCAGTGCTGTGGTTGCTTACTCATCTTTGCCAGGAAATTTAGAAGACAAGCTAGCTGACCAACCAACTGAAAGAGATCCGTATCTGTGCCCATTCCAAAACAGGTTATTCAACAGAATGTGGAAATCAATGAACAATATCATTAGTAACACATGCAAGTAAAATTTTGCTAAAGATAATTCAAAAACAGTTGCAGCAGTATATTGACAATGAGTTGCCAGAAATGCAAGCTGGATTCAGAAGAGGACAAGGATCAAGGGCTATCATTGCTGATGTCAGATGGATCTTAGCTGAAAGCAAAGAATATCAGAAAGATGTTTACCTGTACTTTGTTGACTATGCAAAGGTATTTGATTGTACAGATCACAGAAAATTATGGGTAACAATGTGAAGAATGGGAATTCCAGAATACTTGACTGTGCTCATAAGGATCCTAGACCAAGAGGCTGTCATTTGAACAGAACAAGGAAATACTGCACGGTTTAAAATCAGGAAGGGCATGCGTGAGGGCTGTATCTTTTTTACCATACTCATCCAATCTGTATGCTGAGCAAACAATCAAAGAAGCTGGACTATATGAAGAACATGGCATCAGGACTGGAGGAAGACTCATTAACAACCTGCAATATGGAAATGACACACCTTGCTTGCTGAAAGTGAAGGGGACTTGAAGGACCTACTGACGAAGAAGAAAGTCTACAGTCTTCAGTATGGGTTACACCTCAGCATAAAGAAAACAAAAATCCTCACAATTGGACCAATAAGCAACATCATGATAAATGGAGAAAAGATTGAAGTTGTCATGGATTTTATTTTGCTTGGATCCAACATCAACACTAATGGAGGCAGCAGTCAAGAAATCAGGTATCATATTGTACTGAGCAACTCTGCGGCAAAAGACCTTTTTAAAGTGCCGAAGAGCAAAGACGTCTCTTTGAAGACTAAGGTATGTCTAACTCCAGCCATTGTACTTTCTTTTAATTTTTTTTATTGTGATTTGGGTGAAAATTTACAGAGCAAATTCACTTTCCATACAGCAGTTCACAAACACTTTGTCTCACAAAAGTGACTGTAATTTACCAGAATGCAACAGCTCCCCTCCCACTTTCTCCCCATAGTTACATCTTCTCTGTGTCCAGCCCTCCATGCATTCTTGCCCCCTGAGCTGTCTCCCTATGCATAAACAGCCCTTCTTTCTCCCATGATTGTTTTCTCCAAGGAGTGTATCTACCTCATGTAAATAAATATTCAGCTCATATGCCTGTCTTTTGTTTGGCTGGAAGGTACAGGTGTGGGTTCAATTCCAGACCTGAAGGGCAGCTAGGGGCCATAGTCTCAGTGGTTCCACCAGGCTCTATCAGACCAGCAAACCTGCCCCCCCCAGCTTTCTTTCCCCCACAAATGATTTTGAGTTTTGTTCCACATTGTTCTCCCTCTCTATCAAGGATCTCCTACAGAGATCCCCCTCTGAGTGACTGACAGTGGTAGTTGGGCACCATCTAATTCTTCTGGTCTCATAGTCATATAGGCTGCGGATCATATGGTGTATCAGTTGCTAGGACTAATTGTTTCCATGAATCTTTGGTTTTCTTCATTCTTCTTTGCTCTGGATGAGGAGAGACCCATCGTTGCATCTAGATGGCTCCTTGCAAGCTTTTAAGATCCCAGTCGCTACTTGCCAAAGTAGGAGGTGGAACAATGTTTTGTGTAGTATGTTATGCCAATTGGCTTGATGTCCCCTGTGACTATGGTCCTGAGCCCACAGGTTCAACTACTCGGTCCCGTGACCAAGAAGTGACTACAACCTTGTCCCTTGTCAGCTCTACTATACACAGCCATAGTATTTTCAATCATCTCATATGCATATAAACGCTGGACATTAAATAAGGAAGACTGCAGAAGAATTGATGCCTTTGAATTGTGTTTATGAAAAATTTTGAAAGTATCATACTGCCAGGACAATGAACAAATCTATCCTGGAATAAGTACAGCTTGAATGTTTCTTAGAAGTAAGAATGGCCAGACTTTGTCTCACCTACTTTGGTCATATGGTCAGAAAGAACCATTCGCTGCAGAAGGATATCATGCTTGGTAAAGTAGAGGGGCAGAGAAAAAGGGGAAAACCCTTCATGAGATATACTGACACAGTAGCTGCAACAATGGGCTCAAGCACTGCAAGGAATATGAGGATGGTGAGCAACAGAGTAGTGTTTCATCCTGTTCATAGCATCAAGCAGTGTGTCAGAACTGACTCAACAGCACCTCACAACAACAATAACAAAATCGGTTTTTCTTCTAATTTACCTCTATCTCTGAAGCAGAATATGAGAGAATTAGTTTTTGTAGGGTTTTCTTTTAACCAGCTAAATGAGGTGGATTTCACACTCTACAGACTGTCAGTTCTTTTCCACATATAGATCCATAGGAACATGAGCTGTTACCTTAACTGGGAAGCTACATTTTCCAGTTCGAACTCCTTCTTCATCTGTCTGCCATTGATGTGGACGACTGGCCTCTGGAACATAAACATCTTTCTTTCTCCTAAAACTTTGCCGTAGTTTGTTCATTTTAATTTTCACAATCTATAAACAGAAAAGAGAAATATGAAAAGTAAATTATTACCTTCTTACATATGCAAACTGCAGAGTACTAATGAAAAGCTAGCACCTCAAATTAAATGTTTTGGCTTACGGGAAAAATGACTAATTTACACTTCCTCTTAGGGTAACACGACATTCAAGCAAACAATTTTATTTCTTGAGATGACAACAACTACAATACTAGTCCTTGAAAAACAACAACCTCTAGTAGGATTTTAAGAAATGAAGAACTTTCAAGCATTTTATTAATTGTAATACAAATTATTAATAATACAAAAAGAATCCCACTGATCTATGTCCCGTTCCAACTTCTCAAAATACAAATTTGTACACAAAGGCCTAATGATGGGCTGCTAACAATTCTGAAAGCAATCTGAAAACTCTCATACTTAGTAGGAAAAAAAATTCTAAAATACTAGAATTCAGAGGTCTTTTTAGTTTGCTATTAGCATACGCTAAGCAAAGTAGTTACCATTCCTTTTTCTTTTTTTTTATAAAATATGTTTTACAAAATAAAGTATCTGTTAAATACACTTAAATTTTAAAAAGTTCTATTAGGATTAAATTAATCCAAAAAAGAAATTTCTTACTAGAAGTATAACATCAGAAGGTACTTTCATATTTACAATCGTTACAGTAATCTAATCATTTCAATGACAAAAGGAAAAATTTCATCTTTATAAATTAAGAAAGTATTCTTAATACCCAGTTCTTTGTTTGTTACTAGATGAGGCACTAATGTTTTCTAATGTTTTCAAAAGTGCAGTAGAAATCACAAAGTTACAGGAAAGGAAGACCTAACGGAAAAGAAACAACAGAATATTCAAGAACCAATGAATGAACATAAAAGAACAAGTGCCTCTTTAAAGAGTAAAAAGATCTTAACTGGAGAAAATGATGTGACAAAGCTATAAAAGGAAACATTCTGTCAGGAGTGTTAAGTAACAAGGGATTGAACATTAATTCCCACTTGACACCAGTCAAAGACTTGAAAATCAAAGTTTGCACTTTGAGGAAAAGCATTTTGTATTTTTAAATGCATAATGCCACAGGAGAACTATTACCAAATTAGCTAATTTACACAGACAAGCCAATCTCACCACACATCTTTTTAAAATTTAAGATTTCTGACAAAGGCGTGGCAGTGTAAAAATCTCTGGATTCTCTGAAATTAATTTATTGTATCTCAATTCAAGATTCATCTAGCGAGTATATGGAGTAGATAGTAAATAATCAAATGACTGGATGAAAGGTAGTCTATTCCTCTCTCTTCAAGCAGATCACTCGTGACTAAACCATCCTAAATGAGTCTACCTTAACCTAAAAGACTTTCAAAAAGGATTTCACAACCTTCCTTGATAATACATCCTGTTATACTCTTTCACATCACATTTTAAAAAACACATGGGAATATAATAAAAGCATCTGTATCTGTTATTGATTGAATCTGTGTCCTCCCAAAATATGTATTGTAATTCCTAATCTATATTTAGAATCCCATTTGGGAATGAGTTGTCCTTGTTATGTTAATGAAACAGGATTAGTGTCAGACAGTGTGTTAAGTCAATCTCTTTTGAGATATAAAAGAGATTAAACAAGAAGCAGAAGACGCAGAGATAAAAA